GGCCGAGCCGCCGGCAGCGGGGCGGGGGGTCGCCCCGATGAGCCCAGAGTGCGAGGAGCCGCCGCCCCCCCGCGCAGGTGAGCCGCGCGCCCGCCGCCTGCATGCCTCTGCGCGGTCCCCCGGGTCCCCGCCCCTGCCCCTCGTCTTCCTCGGGCTTCCCAGGTGACCCGGTCTCCCCTAGAGTACCGCCGCCGGGCCTCCATCTCTGTCGACTTCGCGGACTGCTGTTCTCGAGCTCGCGCACTCTGCTCTCACTTCTCTGGGACTCCCCTCACCGCCTCTCCTGGCTCCTAGGAGCGCCCTTCGGACTCCTGCCCACTTTGTCGTCGTGTGCCCGTCCCCACCCCGCGTCCCCAAGGCTAACCCCTGTGGGTGCCTCCTCTTCTTCCCAGACGCTCTTCGCTCTCCCGGTCGTTCAGCACTGCCGGCTCCCTTACCGGGATGACGCTCTGCTAGGCAGAGCCCAGGGCGGTCACAATCGCTGTGCTTTGGAAGTACCCAGGGCAAGCCACCGAGAGGAGAGGCTGGCGAGACTGGCTGGACAGGTGGCTCCCTCTGTCCAGGAGGCACAAGTAGGAGTTGACAGGTGGAGAGTGGGAAGAAAGGTCTCCCCGGTGGGAGGAACAGCTCGTGCAGGTGCATGCCGGGGGTGGGGGTGGGGGGGGAACCTGGAGGGCCCGAGTGTGCCATTGAGAGTGGAAGCGCCGAGTGAGGGCCTGCGCGGCTGGCTGGGTGCCCACAGGGGCCTGGAGTGTAGGCTCCGTGCGACTACTCTTACACACCTGTGCTCCTGTACTGAGGATGCGGGCTTTCCACATCAGTGGGCCTGAGGGGTAGCACCTTACTGGAAAGGAAGCTGTCAGATGTGGTGCCGGCCGCAGAGTCCGAAGTCGCTGCAGTGGGGTTGTTTCCCACCTGGAGTGAGGTTCTATTCTAGGTGGCTGCTGCAGACTTGAGGTTGCCCAAGGAACATACTGAGTGGTTTGTGTACACATCCCATGGAAATGCTGGCCACACTCGGCCACATGGCTTGTAGTGTGGAGTGGTGGCTGCAGTTGGCTTGTGCTGTGTAAAATACAGTGCTCTTTTCTTCTTGCAGTGCTGGGGATGGAACCCAGGTCCTTGTACATGTTAGGCAGGTGCTTTGCCACTGAGGCACTACAACCCCAGCACGTGCTGGTTTTGTTTTTTATTTTTTTTGCTTTGAAACTTGCCCGTTGTCTATCATTTTGTTTAAGTTCAGTAACTAGGTATGGGAAGGAAGCAGTGAGACCCACTGGTTTGAGTGATGTCTTGCATCAGATAGACCTAGGTTTGAGTCCTTTTCTTCTGCTTTTCCAAGGGGTGAGACTTATTCAAATTGCCAAGTGCTCTGTGTGGCCTCTCAGTGGGGATGGCAGGGGTGCTCTCTGCAGAGGGTGAGTCTGGAGTAAGTGTGTTGGTAGATTTCTGTAGCAGAAGATGAAGCACATGGGCCGGGGAGAAAGCTCAGTAGCATAAGCGCTTGCCTGGCAAGTCCAGAGCCCTGAATTCAATCCCTGGTACGACAAAAAAAAAAAAAAAAAAAAAAAAGGAAGAAAGAAAGAGAAAAAGGTGAAGCACATTGTGTGGCTCCTAGGGTTACTTTTGGGATGTATATTGTGTTGGTTTTCAGCTCAGGGCATTCACACCTGGGGAAGGGGCACATTTAGTGTCTAGAGGGTGGACATGGTGATGGACCACAGGGAATGACAACCAGTATCTTTGAAGGCACAGGACAGTACTCTCACAAGTGCTGCCTACTAAGGCTACATGTCACAGTGCTGATGGAGGAACACTGTTTTATTGCTTGCCACAGCTAGTGTTGTGTGGCCTGCTATGCTTTTAGTTCTTTTGTTCATCAGCTTTCATTGGGTTATGTACCAGATCTTCCCATCAGAGGTGGCCCACTCATCTGCCCTCCCCCTTTTTTTCTCCCCTCAGGACCCATGGCCAAGTGACCTCCCCAGATCACCTTCCCCCACTGACTGCAGTTCCCACTTATCCAACAAGTACTTGAGCTCTGGGCCTGGCCGTATGCTAAATCCTGGGAAACTGGCATCATCTGGGGAGAGGCAGATGCCTGAACAGGCAGATCCTGTCACAGAGCTGAGGCTCAGACGCTGTTCTAAGGTGACTTAGGGGATGCTGTGGAAGGACACATGGAGGTCTCCTGGAGGACTAGGGGAGGTGTTAGACCCAGAGAGCTGAGGAGGCTGGTGGGACAGTGTGGCTGAGGCTGAGGGCAGTTGGGGGTGCAAATCTGCATGTGTAACTTGCAGCAGGACACAAGCGCAGCAGCCCAGGTGAGCTGGTGAAGTGGAGACAGACTGGGCTGCCTAGCTTGGGTGCCCTTATGTGCTGGACTAGGGTTTTCCTTCCCACGCTGGGAAGTACAGAGCCTATCTGTGAGTTTTTCCAGAGGAGGAAACTGAGCTCAGGGGTTAAGTTCTTGGTCTTTGCCAAACAGATTTCTATTTGGAGAGATAAGATTGGAACCCAGCCTGTAATCTGTTACTCTGGGAAGCTGAGGCAGGAGGATTACAAATTCAAGCCATTTGGGCAACTTTGTGACTCAGTGAGATTTTGCCTCAGTTAAAAAGTAAGCAAGTAAATAGCTGTGGGTGTAGCTCAGTGAGAAGGCCTTGGGCTTGATCTCCAGTACCAACCAAAAAAAAAAAACTTGAACCCAGACCTGGACCTCAGCTCACCCTGTGACATTCACTGTGCTGTCTGTTTTGCAAGGGCTCTGTGTTTGCTTGTCTTTCTCCTCTTTTCCTCTAATCTATGACCAGTCCAGGTGATAAGTCCTAGTGTGGGCTTTAGTTCCCCTTCTCAGTCCTTGGCCTATGTTCTGGTCTCTGTGGCTCCTAATTTCTTCATCCCCTAGGGTGGGTGAGGAGGCACCTTGTTTGCCCTCTAGCTGGAGATCCTGAACCAGCCTTTCCCATGTAGTGGGAAAGTGCCAGCCTGTTGGCTCTTGTGTCCTTGGCTCAGCCCTCTGCTCTCTGGCCTTTTCTTCTAGAAGTGTGCCCAGCTCCTAGCTTGTCAGGGTGATGTTGGGTTCCATAGCTGTGCATGCTGGGCCTGGGTGGTAAGGTTGTTTGCACCTTCTCCCTATTCTGGAAGTGCTCACTGCCCCTTTCCAAGGGACATGGAGCAGGCCTGGTGTTGAGAAAAGCTAGCGGGACATCGTTTTGCTGTCCCTAGCCATCTGGCCTTTTACAGTCCCGTGCTGGTAACTGGGTCTTTTTCTGAGGACCACCAGCCAGCCTGTGGGCCTGTTTTGATTCTGAGCCTCAGGGTCGCTCAGTTGGCTGCCCCTGGTGGCTGTACCCTTCCATTTCTAGGTGCTGGGGGGCCAGCGGAGATTAAGAAGAGTTGGCAGGTAAAGCAGAAGCCTGGCAGGCAGTGCTGTGTGGAGGGACAGGAGCAGCAATAGGAACAGGGGGAGCTGCGGTGCAGTCTCATGGGCTGGGCTGCGGCAGCTGGCAGCAGAGGCCAGGAAGAACACAACAGAGCAAGAAGGCAGAGACCATGGGTAGGGCTGGCAGGAGAGGCAGAGGCAGTGTGTGCTTTTTAATGGCGACCTTTCTCACTTACAATTTCCCCTTCTTCCTTTTGTAGCGAGAGTCATGGTTTTCAAACGGTCTGTGAAAACTAGTGGCAGCCACTTCCGTTTTCTTGAAGCTGCTGAAAGTTGTGAGGGTGGGGGTGGCGGGGTGTGTGGTGCCTGCCTGAGTGTTTGAATGATCTGAGGAAAAGTACCAGAGTCTCTTGGGCAGTGTTAAGCGTCTATCCTGCTTTTATGTTTTGACCACTGTTGCCTTGGGGTTGCGACTATCTCGTGCCTACCTTGCCCAGAAGTTGTCAGACATTGTCTCAAGGCACTACTGAATCTGAACCACCTGCCTTAACTCAGCTCGTTTCATGGCTGAGGCAGTGACGCTTGCAGGAGCCAAGTGCCCGGCCGTGTCCACCAGCCAAGTGAGTGAGGGAGCAGCCTCCCTCTTGCTGATGTGCAAGTTGAAGATGGTGCTTCACTTGGGGCTGGGCTGTGGAGTCCTATGTCCAGCATGGGAGCCAAGGCTCAGACCCAGCTCTGCTTCTGGTAGCTGAGCTGCAGGCTGTTCTCTCTGGGTCCCTTTTCCACGTGGGACTCTGGTGTCAAATGGTAGCACTCAGAATTCTTGCCCTTGTCCTGAAGCAGGGGAGATGAGGGGCTGTTGGCTTGGTATACTCCTGGCCTGGCCCCATGCTATCTTCCGTGCTTTGTGTGGGCTTTCTGTCATGGGTGTTGGCCAGGAGGGGTGGGAAGGAGTGACCTGTGTATGCTCCTGGAGTGGAGCCTCAGGTGGAGTCTTGGCAGTGCTGGGGTAGCTGGGACCTAGTACAGGGCCCGCTTGACCTCAGCATGGTGGCTCTGGGCGGCTTCTGTTTCTTTAGTGACAGTTTTAATTGACATATAGTTCATGTGCCCTAGAATTTATCCATTTAAAGTACACAGTTTATTGTTTTGTAGTATAGTCACAACTTTCTGGAGCTACTGCCATGTTTATTATTATTATTATTATTATTTTATTTTATTTTTTTTTGCGGAACTGGGGATTGAACTCAGGCCCTTGCGCTTGCCAGGGAAGCGCTTATTCTACTGAGCTATCTCCCCGGCTGTTTATTTTTGTTCAATTTTTTGTTTCTTATTTTTTAATCTTATTTATTTATTTTTGATATGGGGTCTTGCTACGTAGTTCAGACTCATAGTGATCCTTGTGTCTCAGCGTCTCCAGTGCTGGGATTATAGGTGTACATCACCATACCTTGCTTGCCAGGCAGGTGCTTAGACTGCTAAGCTATCTCTCCAGCCTTGTTTTTTGTCTTTTTGAGACAAGGTCTCACTGTGCAGCCCAGGCTGGTCTCGAACTTGTAACAACCCTCCTGCCTCATCCTCTTGAGTGATAGGATTACAGGCGTGTGCCACCATGCCTGTTCAATTTCTTTTTTCTCTTTTCTCACATTTTAGAACATTTAAAAAACACATTACTGGGGCTGGTGAGATGGCTCAGTGGTCTAAAGCACCTACTTAGAACAAGCTTAGCAAAGCACAGGGACCTCGGTTCAATCCCCCAGCACCACATGCCAGCCAGCCCCGCCCCCTGGTGGGCTGAGCTGGCCACACACACACACACATAAATAAATAAAATTAAAAAGAAAAACACATTACTTTTCAGAGAAGAGACTCTGAAGAGGCTGGTCTGCAGTCTGGTATAAACCTTTAGACTTTCGTGTTTTATTATTTTTATTTATTTATTTTTTTGGCGGAATCAGGGATTGAACTCAGGCCCTTGTACTTGCCAGGGAAGCACTTATTCTACTGAGTCATCTCCCTGGGCCTTTCACGTTTTGTTTTGTTTATTTTTTTTGACAGAACTGAGTATTGAACTCAGGCCTCTGTGCTTGCCAGGCAAGTGCTTATTCTACTGAGCCATCTCCCCGGCCCCATTTTTACATTTTAAAAAACATTAAAAACCCCCAAAAATTGTCCCCATTAGCAGTCACTCTCCTATCCCCAAGTTCCTGAAAACTTGTGCTTTGTGTCTCTGCAGATGTGCCTGCTGACAGATCATTTAAATGAGCCCATAAAACTTCCGGGTTCTTTGTGCCTGGCTTTGTCTTGGGGCTCAGGCCTGTCTGGCCAGCTGCTCTCCTGTGTAGAAGGAGGCTTGCATCAGCTATACTCAGCCTCCTGGTCCTTCCCGCTGCTGGCCTTTGGGTGGAAGTCAGCAGTCAGGATGAGTTTGGCAGTTGCCCCTTGGGATTACTCTGTCCCAGGTACTCAGGCCAGGAAACACAGCCCGCCCCACCCCCACTGTCAGTGGGTCGCTGCGTCACCTTGGCTGAACCTCAGTTTTCTCATCTGTGACAGGGAGGCTTATCTGTTTCTGCTCCTCATCACAAGTGGGATAGAGTAGGGAAGGGCTCTGAGGAGGTCTGAGGCCCAGGCAGAAGACAGTTTCGTTTGGTGGGTGCTGTGTGTTTCTGCCTCAGGCCAGGAGCTGGAGCCTGCCCTCCCTGGGAGACAGCATGTCCCTGGGTGATCTCACACCTCTCTGCCCAGCCTCCCTCCTGTGGCTGGGAGGGGACAGGTCCCAGGGCTGGGAGAGGTTTCACTTTGATTTCCTGATCTTAGAGGGCCCTTGTGACAGTGTGGTTTGGAGATGAGTGTGTCCTCTAACTCACTCCAGGGAGCGTTTAGTGCCCAGTCCAGGTTCAGTGCCTGGTGCTGTCCACAGGCCCCCATAGGAACCTAGTAAGGAAGATTTTGGAGAAGCTCAAACCTTGGAGTCTGCATTGGGTGCTGGGAACAACGCGATCACCCAGAAGCAGGGATGTTCCAGACTGTAGGAAGTGCTGGCCTGCTGGCTGTCACAGACACGCCCCAGGGAGCCGCTGCTGAGTAGTAGACAGAGATGGGGCTGCTGGGCCCAGGCTGCATGGGACAGCCTCCCAGCACTATGCTTTGTAGAGGACCCAAAGGACAAGAGGAAACCAGTACCAAGACAGAGTGCTGAGGTGGACCCAAGCTTTTACTGCTCTAGAACAGCAAGTAGGCTGGGATGGCTGTTGTGAGTGTGAGTGTGGCTAAGGTAGCTTTCTCGGTGGTCCTGGGTACAGGTTGTTGAGGAGGGGAGTGGCTGGAGAGGGCAACTGGGTGTGGGTGGCCCCAGGTGGGGTGGGGGAGGGGATCTGCAGTGCTGGATTGCACTGTTACCAGATTGGAGAATTGTTGGTTTCTGGGGATAGGGAAGGGTGGGTTGTGCCGTTGCGGTTGTGCTGTAAGGGTCACGATTCCACCCTCCTTCCAGAGAGCATCCAGGAAGTGCTGGGTGCCAAGTGCCCTGAAGGCCAGGAAGGCCAGCCTGCAAAGAACAGCTCCTTGGTGAGAATGCTGGCTCAGAGTTGCTGGCCCAGCCATCCCGAGGTAGTGAGAGCCAGCCCCAGCAGGCTTGTGCTGCCTGCCCATCCATCTGCTGCAGAAGCCCTGTGCTGACATGGTCCCTGTACCCAAAGTTCACTTGCTGTCTGTGTGAGGGCTCCACTGCTTGCCAGCGTAGGCCTGTGTTTCCTCACGTATCAGTGGGTTGGGGATCTCTCTTGAGGGTGGTTATGTGAGTTTGCCAAGGTGGTGGCTGTGAAGTCTTCAGGGTAGTGGCATGGTGGTGGAGCTGGGCATTTGGTTGATCTTGTTATTGTCAAAGACCCTGAGGCCTTCTGATACCCTCCTAGTCCTGGGAGCTGCTAGTGCCAAGGGGGCTGTGGGCATGAAGGAGACAGCTGAGGTGGGAGCATGGGATCTGGAACCTACTGGGGAGGGGTGACCCCAGCTTGGCCGTTGGGCTTTGAGGAGTGGAGCTTGGAGCTCTGGGGATGGTGGAGCCTGGGCCATGAGCTAAAGGAACCAGCAGGGTGGGAGGCCTGTTGTGTAACCTGGGGGCTGCTGTCACCAAGAAGTGTGTGTATAGGGTGAGCCCCAGGGTTGTGCCTGAGGGCCTCAGTGTGGGCTGGGCACCGTCACCTGGCCCAGAGGGAGCCAACCCAGGGTGTTGGGTGGTGCTTCAGAGTGGTGTTGGGAAGGCAGCCTTGAGTCAGAGCTCGGGCTGGAATCCCTGAATGCTACGCACTGGGACCAGAGCCCCTGTTGTCTCCCAGACCTGGAGCTTGGCGCTGCTTCCCTCCACTCCTTCGGGGCTTGGCAGTGAGTGGGTCCCCCATGGCCTGTTACCAAGGTGAGGGCATGCGTACAAGTGAGGTTTGAGCAGAGTCCTTGAGTGGTCTCCTTGCCACGGGGGTGCACACCAAGGTGAAGGAGTCTCCTGCTGTGGCCCTGGCTGCAGGGGAGGCAGGGATGGAAGGCAGCGAGCATGTCCTGAGTTACAGTTGAGTCACCTCAGTGCTAAGCACAGCTGGCCTGAGTCTGGAGGCAGCAGACCCTCTTAGGAGGGTGACCTGGGTCGACTGTGGAGGCTGGATCTGAAGGACAGGCCGGGAAGGGTCCCCAGGGTGCCGTGAGGGAGGAACCAGCATCTGCAGGCCTCAGGATGGGCATCCAGCCTCCTGGGGCAGTGGTGGCCTGTGAGTCTTTTGGGGGGCTGCCCACTCACCATCCCCTGTGGCGGGGTGATGGCAGTGGGGGACTGTGTAGCTCAGCCGTGGTGCACAGGCATGCTGGTGAGCAGGCAGCTGCGCACAGCTGAGGCTGCTGGGGCAGCTGGGCAGCCTTGTGGGGTTCTCTTTTCTCCCTTTCCTTTTCTTTCTTTTGCCCAGACTGTCCTTGGACATGCTGTGTTGCCCAGGCTGGTTTTTAACTAGCAGTCATTATATTCTCTGGGATTATAGCTGTAGGCCATCATGCTGAGCTTCTCGTGAGGTTTGTATGAGGAGCAGTGCAGTAGTGTGGGGTGCTAGCTTGGGACAGCGCTGTCCATCCTGTTAGTACTGGCAATGCGTCTCCTCTTGCTAGCGCGTTACCTGTGATGGGTGGCCGAGGGTGAGCAGCTCCCTGTGTTCCTCTAGGCTGACAGCCCTGTCCTGCCTTCTTTGGGCCTCAGCCTGAGGCTGTTCTAGGAGCCGCTCTTCTCTGGCCTGGGCACAGTGCTGAGAGCGTGGTTGGGGTGTGTTTGTGTGTGTGGTGTCCAGGCAACGGCCGGCCGCAGCCTCGAGATGCACAGACTTCCTCTCTTCCCCCTGCTGCCACCCACACCCCCAGCTGTGCACCAGAGGTCATGGGGTGTTTGAATTTGTTCAGCAGATACAGGTGGGAGTGAGTCTGAGGCCAGGACTTCAACCATGTCCCCGTCAGTATGGAGCAATGGACACAGGATGGTGGGGCTGAGGTCACTCTTCACAGTGGCTGGCCTCTCCTTTTGGACCTTGCGTGGTCCACAGTGAGGACTTCACTAGCCCTGGGCTGAGTGATGAGACAGTGGGACCCAGGAGATGGCTTGAAGGCTGAGATGAGGGTATAAGTCCCTGAAGCTCAGTGGGCGCATCCAGCATGGATGAGCCGGGACATCCCAGGAGAGGCCAGGCTTGCCCGGTGGCTGGGGCTGGGCAGGGGCCTGCAGCAGGGCACCTGGGGGATGTGTGTGATGTGCAGACTGTGCCCTGTGCCTGCAGGGCGCCATGTTTTGGAAGTTTGACCTGCACACAAGCTCGCACCTGGACACGCTGCTGGAGCGGGAGGACCTGAGCCTGCCTGAGCTGCTGGATGAGGAGGACGTGCTGCAGGAGTGCAAGGTGGTCAACCGCAAGCTCCTGGACTTCCTGCTGCAGCCGCCGCACCTGCAGGCCATGGTGGCCTGGGTCACCCAGGAGCCTCCAGCCAGTGGCGAGGAGCGGCTGCGCTACAAGTGAGTCTGTCCCCCTCCACACACTTGGGAGTCTGGGTGGGGTTGAGGAGCTGAGGCAGGGAGGACAGAGCCCTGCTGGGGTCCTGTAGCACTGAGTGCAGACTGCCCTGTGCTCAGGTCTTGGTTCTTTACATTTATTTGTGTGTGTGTGTGTGTGTGTGTGTGGCCAGCTCAGCCCACCAGGGGGCGGGGCCGGCTGGCATGTGGTGCTGGGGGATTGAACCGCGGTCCCTGTGCTTTGCTAAGCTTGTTCTAAGTAGGTGCTTTAGACCACTGAGCCATCTCTCCAGCCCTGGTCTTGGTTCTTTAGAAGCTCTCCGGGGTGGGGCTCTCCAGGCAGACCCCCAGTGCACACCTGGCGGTGCCTTCTCCAGCCGGGCTTGGAGTCACACCTCGCCAGCATCATCTCAGTTGCTGGCGCCCTACTTTTTGTTTTAGTGGTGGCTTTTTTTTTTTTTTTTTTTTTTTTTTTTGATTTGTTGTTTTTCAGACAGGACTTCAAATTTATAGTCTTCCTGCCTTGGCCTGCTGGATATTGAGATTATAGAGACATACTATCATGCCTGGATTTGTTTTTTCCCAGTTGAAATCTTTGTCGGGATGAGTGCAATCTAACGCAGGTGTAGGAAATAATAGATTCTGAGCCAGTGCTGCCCAGTTTCCCCCAGTGGTAGCATTTTGCACAATTACAACAGGGTGGGTACAGTGTACCCAGGAGCAGCTTAGAAACAGTCCTTTTCTCTGTGATTCATTTGTATGTGTGGTGCTACTTTCACCCTCATTTATTTATTTATTTATTTTTAATTTAATTTTATTTTATTTTTTGCGGTACCAGGGATTGAACTCAGGACCTGTGGCTTGCCAGGCAAGCACCTATTCTACTGAGCTATCTCCCCAGGCCCTACTGTTACCTTCAGAGGCTTGTGTGTCCATGCCAAAGTGACGTCCAGAACACTTCTGCACCACTGATCAAAACCACACCTCTTCTCTAACCCTTAGCAACCATGTCTGTCCCCAGTTATATAGTGTGTTTTGTTTATTTTTTTGGTGCTGGGAAATGAACTTGGTGTCACACGTGCTAGGCAAATAGTCTCACCTTAGCCCTACTTGTGTCATTGGAACTGTGTGATAAAGTGTGTCATGCAGTAGGGCCCTTTTGGGAGTGGCTTTTTACCAGTGTGATTCTCTGGAGACTCACTCCAGCTGTGGTGGAGAAAGGCACTATCTTTCTCTTTCTCTTTCGCTTTGTTGAGAGTGGGTAGTGAGGCTCTACCAGTATATCCCCTGAGGATGCCAGAGCCATGTGCTCACTGCGGGAGCCCCTAGGCCTGTAGCAGTTCCTGTGCAGGCTATGTCTCCTTTTGTCCTTCTGTGTTATGTTAGCTGTGTGCAGTATGGATGGCCTGAGAGGATCTTCCTGTCCAGTGTGCTTATGGGTGGTGGAGGGTATGGTCCAGCTGCTGGTCCTGGGAGGTGGATGGGCTGTACAGGTGACCTGGCTTTCTGCCTTTGTCTGCCTGGGCGCTGGGAACATGGGGAGGCTCTCCTGGGCTCAGGTGTTCCTCGGTACTTGTTGTTGCCAAGCCAGCTGCAGTGCTCTGTGCGGACTGCAGGCCAGCAGTGCTCTTATGTCTCCGGGTGTTTGCTGGCAAGCTCCCTCGGCTCAGGCGTCCATGCATGTCTTGTCCTATGGGCATGGGCTGGACTCTGACAGTGTAGACAGCGAAGTGGTCTCCATACTGGGGATTAGAACCAGGGCCTTGCATGTGCCAGGCAAGCACTCCACCCGAGTCAAGACTTTCTAAATTGCCTAGACTGGCCTTGAACTTGGAATCCTCCTCTACCCTTCTAGGTAGCTGAGATTACAGATGTATACCACTACCTGGCCACCTGTGCCCTACTGTGCCTCCTACCCCGCCCTGCCCCAAGAAGTCCACTTTGAGGGGAGGGGCGCCTTGGTGCCTTCCATAGTTATGGTTTAAACCCAGAGGGCACCCGGGCACAACAGCTCTTGGGCTGCTGTTGGGTATCGCCTGTCTGCAGAAGGGAGGCAAGGACAAGAGGTGGGTGGTCTAGGAAACTGCCCTGGTGTGGGGCACTTAGATGTGACCTAGGAGCGTCACTGAGCTGGGGCAGCGTGTGGGGCTGAACATGTCAGACATCAGGAGAGTGGGGTAGATCAGGAAGTGACCTAAAGGCCACGTTCAGTGAGATGTCATCTTAGGGTGGTGGGGAGTGCTGGAGGGCATATAGGGAGGCTGGGGATGAGCTGGGCTGGGTAAAGAGGCCTCCCCCATGAATCCCTGACACCAGTGTTATCCCGCCAGGTACCCCAGTGTGGCCTGCGAGATCCTCACCTCAGATGTGCCCCAGATCAATGACGCCTTGGGCGCAGATGAGTCCCTCCTGAACCGGCTCTACAGCTTCCTGCAGAGCAGCAGCAGCCTCAACCCACTGCTGGCCAGCTTCTTCAGCAAGGTCATGGGCATCCTCATCAACCGCAAGACAGACCAGGTGTGCTTCCCTCCTTGCCAGGGTGTGCTGGGGCCAGGGGCTGGGCTGTGCGTGATGGGACCCTCTGCCCCCAGCTTGTGTCTTTCCTGCGCAAGAAGGACGACTTTGTGGACCTGCTGCTGCGGCACATCGGCACCTCAGCCATCATGGACCTCCTGCTGCGCCTGCTCACCTGTGTGGAGCGGCCACAGCTACGGCAGGAGGTTTTCACTGTGAGCTGGGCTCAGTGGGGCTGGGGTGAATGGATGTGGGGCCAGGCACCCACCATGGCCCCTGTGTTCTTGTCCCCAGTGGCTCAACGAGGAGAAGATTGTGCAGCGGCTGATTGAGCAGATCCACCCATCAAAGGATGACAATGTGAGTGCCATGGCATTCCCTGCCGCCTCCTGCATCTCCATACCTTGCCTCTTACTCATCTGTTAGAAGATGAGCACTTGCCCTGGCTTCTGCTCCCAGGCACGCGTCATGCCCACGGCATGTGTGCACTGCGCCTGAGCATGTGTGTGCATGCCCTTTCGTACACTCTGAGCTGTATGCAGCTGAGGGGCCTGAGGTGTCACCTCGAGTTCCCTGGAGTGACATGGTGAGAGGCTGAGCACTGCCCACTGCTGCCGGGGTAGACTTAGTGCTCTTTTTTTGGGGCAGGGGGCAGAAGCGGGGATTGAACTCAGGCCCTTGAGCTTGCCAGGCAAGCGCTTATTCTGTTGGGCTATCACCCTGGTCCCTAGTGCTCTGTTTTGATATACTCCTTTGCTCCTTTGAAACATAGCTTCTTTGAGATGTGGATGACATACTGCCCACCATAAGGTTATAATTTGGCAGTTTTCTCTATATTCATGGTGTTGTGTGGCTGGTACCACGTCAGAGTTAAAATACTTTGCACATTCCTGCTGAGATCCAGTGGCCGTTGGCAGCTCCTCACCCTGTCCCTGCCCCTGTGTCCCTGCAGCTAGGCCAGTCTCTCTGCAGTTGGCCACTTTACACACGTGTTGTGTAAATGGAAACATCTGTGGTTCAATCTGTGCTTGGTCTCTTGCCTTGCCTTGATCGTACCTTGGGCAGAAGCACTTGCCTGAGGCCCTGGGCTTCATCCCAAGCTCTTGGGGAAAAGTGTTTGTCCACAGGTAGCAGGGGCAGTGGCCCATTTCTCTACTCGGCTGAGTAACCCTCCCAGCATGGGCAGGCCGTGCTCCTACCTTCAGGTGCCAGCCCCCGGCTCCTGGTAGCTGTGCACAGTGCTGTGTGCATATGGGCAAGGCTTTGGTGTCTCTGTGCTCTGGTCTGGCAGCACACGTCCTTGTCTGTTGGTTGCCCTTCCCTATGCCTCCTGGGCGATCCTGACCTGTCTCCCCCTCCCCAGCAACATTCCAATGCGTCTCAGTCTCTGTGCGACATCATCCGCCTGAGCCGGGAGCAGATGATGCAAGGCCAGGACGGCCCGGAGCCCGATCAGCTGCTGGCCACTCTGGAGAAGTGGGTTTGCGGGCTGGCTGAGGGCAGGGAGGGCTCTGTCCTGGGAGCCTGGCCTGACAGCGCTGCCCCCACCCCAGGCAGGAAACCATCGAGCAGCTGCTGAGCAACATGTTCGAGGGGGAGCTGAGCCAGTCTGTCCTCGTCAGTGGGATCCAGGTGCTGCTCACTCTCCTGGAGCCCAGGCGACCCAGGTGAGGCTATGGCTGGGTGGCACCTGTTCCCTGCCTGTGTGGTGGGGTGGCACTGAGGCTCCTGTCTCCTATTGCATTGAACACTGAGCACCTCTGCTTGAAGATGGAGGGTACTGGGGTATGTTTTAATGGCATCAGACTGGGGGCGCAGTGGCCTCCCTGGACTGTGGTCTGCCCCTCACCCCATCCTCTACCTGCACTGCTGGCTCTGTTCAAGACGAGCCTGAACATATCTGGGCACCAGGTGCAGGCCCCTGGGCTCACTGCCCTGTCTGGGCTGCTGCAGGTCAGAGTCCGTGACCATGAACAACTTCTACAGCAGCGTGGACGGGCAGCTGGAGCTCCTGGCCCAGGGGGCCCTGGATAGTGCTGTGTCCAGCATGGGTGCCCTGCATGCTCTGCGTCCACGACTCGCCCGCTTCCACCAGCTCCTGCTTGAACCTCTCCAGGTAGAGGACCTCGGAGTCCCTGTTCTGGAGAGGAGGGGGTGGTGGTGAGGAAGGCGGCCTTCAGAAGCTGAGTTCCCTGCTCTTGCAGCTGGAGCCGCTGCAGATGACATGGGGGAGCCTGGCCCCGCCCCTGGGGAACACGCGGCTGCACGTGGTCAAGCTCCTCGCCAGTGCCCTGAGTGCCAACGATGCTGCCCTGACACAGGAGCTCCTGGCGCTGGACGTGCCCAACACCATGCTGGTACAGGAGTGGGTTGCAGGCCCAGGGCTTGGGCGGCAGGCGCTGTGCATCTCTGGTGCCAGCCTGTGTGCCCTCCCTAGGACCTCTTCTTCCAATACGTCTTCAACAACTTCCTGCATTCGCAAGTGGAGGTGTGTGTGAGCACCATGCTGAGCTTGGGGTCCCCTCCTAGCAGCAGCTCTGAGACACCGGGCCAGAACCCTGTGCTGAAACACGTGAGCACCACCCTCCCTGGGGACAGGCAGCCCCATCCCCTTCTGCAGCTGTGTGTGTGTACCAGCCAGTGCTTTTGTCTGGGGAGCGGGGCTGGGGGTGGTAGGAGCCAGACTGAGCGCAGTGCGCTGTCCTGCTGTGCCCTTGCCTGTGTGCAGCCCGGGCTCCCACCTGGTGCTTCCTGCAGGAGGTCCCGAGGCCTAGCTACCCAGGTGTGCAGGCCCTGGCCAACGCCCTTGCCCCCACAGCTGCTGCAGCACTGCCGCCTGGTGGAGCGGATCCTCATGTCCTGGGAGGAGAATGACCGTGTCCAGTGAGTGCCTGCTGCCTCCGTGCAGGGCGCATGGGTGGGGGATGGGCCAGGGCAGCCTTGGCATCCAGGCTGGCACCCACCTGTGGCCTTGTTCTTGTGCAGGTCTGAGGGTGGCCCAAGGAAGGGCTACATGGGCCACTTGACACGGGTGGCAAATGCCTTGGTGCAGAACGCGGAGCAGGGGCCGAATGCGGAGCAGCTGGGGCAGCTGCTGAAGGGTGAGTGAGGCGCAGGGGTGCGAGGAGCAGTGGGATGCTGTGCAGGAGCCTCACGCCCCCTCCTCCTCTGTGCAGAGCTGCCGGGTGAGCAGCTGGAGCAGTGGGAAGTGTTTGTGTCAGGACCTCTGGCAGAGACCAACAAGAGGAACGCTGTGGACCTGGTAAGGCCTGGGCTCTGCTGGGAGCCCCCTCCAGCCTTCCCGCTGTGGCTGCCGCCGGCCCTGATGCTCCCTGTCCTGTTCCAGGTGAACACCCACCACCTGCACTCCTCTAGTGATGATGAGGATGACCGGCTGAAGGAGTTTAACTTTCCCGAGGAGGCCGTGCTGCAGCAGGTGTGCGGGGGGTGTGGGTGTGGGATGGAGGACGTGCATGCGCGTGGCGGGGTGTCACTTGGCCTGGAGTATGTGGGCGTGGTGCATGCACTCTGGGTGTGTGCGCCCTTCCTGGCCAGCCCCCCCAGCCGTTCCTCTGTGCCCACTACAGGCCTTCATGGACTTCCAGATGCAACGCATGACCTCAGCCTTCATCGACCACTTCGGCTTTAATGATGAGGAATTTGGGGAGCAGGAGGAAAGTGTGAAGTAAGTGTCCCCATGGGGCTTGGGCACGTCTGCTCTCTGATGGCGGCTCCTGAACACATCTAGCTGTGGCCTTGGGTGCTCGAGGCCTGTGTTAGCCTGAGTCCAGCTCTGCAGAACCCCATCTTGTGGGAGGCCCTGAGGGTAGGCACAGACCTCCCCCATGCTGGGGATAGAGCAGATCCCAGCCCTAGAGAGGAGCAGGCAGCAGAGGATAGTGTCCTAAAGACCATTGTGAGGAGTGAGCCCAGAGTCACTGCGACAATAAGAGACTGCCTCTGGGGCAGGCCCTGGAGGGTCCCTGACACCAGACTAAAGGGGGATAGGTGGGGCTGGTGGGGGTGCAGCCAGCATCCACAGCCTCTCTCAGGCACCATCTGGTTCACCTTCGCGCCCATGGCTGCTGCTTGGTGGCCACATAAGCCCATTTACGTCAGGACAGCTGAGGTGGGGAGCTGGTCGGTGTAGGTGGTGGTGCAGGAAAAGGGCTTGGTGACAGGCTACCAGCAGCCGGGCTCTGCCTGGGCCGCAGCCTGGCCAGGGCCTGAGGCCTGGTGATCAGCCAAGCCTGCCCCACTTGAGGGTGCACTGGGTGTGACAGGCACTTGACCCTAGGTGTGAGGGACAAAGAATCACTTCAGGAGAAGGGGAGCAGAGCCCTGTTGTGCAGTGTGAGAGGCAGCCTGTGTGGGGCCATGCGGTGGGGCTGTGCCTCCTGGGGGCTGCCCTACCTTGTGCTGACTCTGTTGGTCTGGGTCTCAGCCCTGCCATGTCTTGGTCTGATTTGGGAAGAGAGCCTGACCCTGTCCTCGGGGTGAACTGTGGGGGCCAGGGCTCCCCTGTGTGTAGGGCAGTGTCTGGTGCTAGTCCCTGGTGGCAGGCTGGGCTCTTCCAGTGTCTGCTGGGGGTGGGTGTCTGGGCCTTGTCTCCCCTACTTGCTGTAGAGTGCTGTGCCATGGGGGCTGGGGTTCAGAGATGCCTGGGGGGACAGAGCTGGCACACAGCCCCACATGTGGGGCTCCACTGTGTGCTGAGGGAGGGCGCTCACTGCACACACACCCCTTCCCTAGTGCACCCTTTGACAAGACGGCCAGCATCACCTTCTCCCTCCACGCGGATGATGAGAACGTGAGTGCTGCTCTCCCAGGTCCTGGTGGGTAGAGGTCTGGGGGCTGCAGCTGCTCAGCCCAGCCTGTGCCCTGCCCTGCAGCCCAATGCCAACCTGCTCGAGATATGCTACAAGGACCGCATCCAGCAGTTTGATGATGAGGAAGAGGACGAGGAGGAAGGCCCAGGCTCGGGGGAATTGGACGGAGAGTATGGTGCCTGGCAGGGCAGCCAGCTGGCCAGGGCAGCCCGCGTGAGCCATGCCCCTGGCGTCCGGTGAGTCCCCTGGCCTCTCCTCCGTAAGGTGCCTGCGTAGCTGAGGTGCAGGGACTCCAGGCTGAGGCAAAGGAGCAGAGCAGAAAGACCGTGCCTGTGCGAGGTAGGGCACTTTCAGCTTTCAGGGAAGTCTGCAGGAGCAGTTCCCAGGCTGCCCTGTGCCAAGGTTCCAGGCAGAGCATTCCCCCCCCCCCCCTTGTGTCGGCTTGTCTCGGCTCGTGTGAATACTGCTTCTACCCTAATGCCGGCTTCAGTGCACCCGTGCCACGTAGTGTTGCTGCTGAGCACCAGCAGCCCGGGCCTTTGCTTCTTTGACTTGGAGAGGAGCGGGTCTGGTCCTATCTTTAGGAGATGTCATCCTCCTTGTGCAGAGCCCGGGCTCAGGAGTGGGGGTGCCCACCTCCCATGGTGCCCTCTGCTGGTCCTTGTTCTGACTCCTGTCCTGTAGAGGAGCCCCCTCTAATCCTGCTGTGCATGACGGGTGCTGAGACTTTCAGGTTAGGGGCGCTCATCCTGGCTTCTCCCGCATCTGGCCCCTAGCCCACGCCCACTCTGAGATCTGTCTCTGGGCTGCTGTTTGGACTTCCACTGTGTTGTCCTGTGGGAGGTGCTTTGCCGGCTTTGTAGTGGGCGGATTTGGGCGGGTCCCTGCTCACCCTCGTGGGGTGTGTTCCAGGTTGAGCTGGTTGTGACGAGCAGTGTGAGCAGCCGTCAGCGTTGCCTCTGTGTGTGGGTACAGCCTCCCAGTGCCAGCTGTCTGGGAGGCTGTGTCCTTGGAAGACGTCATCGATGGCGTGCGAGACGGTGTTTCGTTGTTTCTCCACTCTGTTCTGCCCGGCTGTCTTACGCAAGCATGGCAGTACCTTGTGGTCAGTTTTGAAATTAGGAAATAATGATCCAGGACCCTCATGCTTCTTTTCTAAGATGGTTTTGCTACTGGGATCCTGAGTTTTACAGTCAGCTCGCAGCATCCAGAGAAGGCAGCTGGCGTTCTGGTACACATTTGGGCCATGACCCTGGGACAGTTTGCGTAGCACTGCTGCTGTACAGTACATGTTCACTCCAGCTCCCTGAGGCTGGAGTGTCATTCTGCTTACTTGCATCTATAATTTCTTTCTTTTTTTTTTTTTTTTTTTGGCAGAACCGGGGATTGAACTCAGGTCCTTGCGCTTGCCAGGGAAGCACTTATTCCGCTGAGCCATCTCCCCAGCCCCAGATCTTTAATTTCTTTCGGCAGTGTTTTGATGGGTTTTATTTTTATTTTTGTGTATGGAGACTTAAATGCAGGACCTAGTGCTTGCCAGGCAGGCACTGGGCCTCTGAGCTGTGTCCCTGGCACTGTTTTTGTTTTAAGGGCATAATGCTTGCAGTTCTTTTTTTTATTATTATTTTTTTTATTTTAACATTTATTTAGTGTGTGTGTGTGTGTGTGTGTGTGTGTGTGTGGCCAGCTCAGCCCACCAGGGGGCGCAGCTGGCTGGCATGTGGTGCTGGGGGATCGAACCGCGGTCCCTGTGCTTTAGCCAAGCTTGTTCCAAGTAGGTGCTTTAGACCACTGAGCCATCTCTCCAGCCCCGCTTGCAGTTCTTTGTTAAATTTATTCCTAAGTATTTTATTCTGTTTGATGCTAAATGGGGCTTTATTGAAATCATTTTGAGATTGTTGCAAGTATGTAGAAAGATGGTAGCTGTTCTTGTGTATTTTGTTTCCAGCAACCTTTTTTTTTTTTTTTTTTGGCGGAACCGAAGATTGAACTCAGGCCCTTGCGCTTGCCAGGGAAGCGTTTATTCTACTGAGCCATCTCCGGCCCCTCCAGCAGCCTTTTGAACTCATTGATTAACTTTAATAGTATTAGTGGCCTTTGGATTTTCTGTATACAAAATGTCAGTGGGGCAGAGTGATGTATGCCCTTGACCCCAGCTATGGGGGAGGCGGAGGTGGCATTATTGCAAATTCTAGGCCAGCCTGGGTAGCATAGATTCCATCTTAGCAAAGAAAAAAGGCAGGAGATTGTGTCTCCTGTGAAAAAAGATGGCGCACAGATGCCTTTGCTTCCCTTTCTTGTGTCACTGCCCTGGCTAGGGCCGGGGTGGCATGGGCAGCAGTTCTTCTTCACCTGGGGCATCCCGCCCCCCATCGCTGAAATCTGCTCGTGCTCTGGAGTAAACAGATGCTTCACCATAGGCCCAGGAGTTCCTTCTTTGTTCAGTTGCTGAATGTTATAATTGGATTTTTTTTGGAACTGGGGATTGAAGTCAGGTCCTTGCGCTTGGCCAGGGAAACGCTTATTCCACTGAGCCATCTCCCTGGCCCTATAATTGGATCTTATTTAATTATTATTATTATTATTCTTTTGTCATTTTGAGACAGGGATTCACCATGCAGTTCAGACTGGCCTTGAACTCACTTTGTAGCCCAGGCTGGCCTCAAACTCACAGCAGTCTTTCTGCCTCAGTCTCCTGAGCACTGGGATGTGGTTGTGTTTTAGGTTGTATACAGATACACTTCTCTCCAGTTCATCAGTAAAAGGCTGAAACAGCATGCGTGGGATGTCTGCAGATGCAACCAGCTGTGGCTCAGAGGGAGCTGGGAAGAAGTGGTGTTGCTCTAAACACGTGCAGGTGTTTCTCCTTGTGGTGATGGGCTAGACAGTGCGGCGTCACAGCTCTTTATATTGTATTCGTTAGTGCAAGCGGATGGCTGAGCATATGGAGGAAGTGCAGATTCTGTGCAAATCGCACACCATTTCACAGAAGGGGTTCTAGTGTCCCTAGTGCTCAGCCGCAGCGTTTCCTGCGGGGGCTGAGGGTGACTCACTGGCTGAGCTGTGCGCTCAGTGGACACGGGTGGTTTTCTTCACGGTCACAGGTGGTATGTTTGTCACTGTTCATCTAGTCGCTTTGAGCCAGCCTGGGTTGCATAGTGAGACCCTATTTCAAAAATCAAAAACAAAAATTGAGCTAGTAGTTTTGGAGGAGCCGTGGTGCCAGATAGCATTCTCATGGCTGAGGACGTGCCAGTGACAAAAGTCACGTGTCTCCATTTCCTGGAGTTCATATCTGGAGAAGGAGTACAGTAAACCCCTTGGTTCTGAGGATGGATCTGGGGAGAGAGGGCTGTGGGGCAGATGCCGCTGGGGTCTGTCTGTGACCGAGCCCCAGTGTGCTGCCTGCAGGGCCGTCCTGCCAGGAGGGCTGCAGCAGGGACTCGGTCCTCAGGATCTCGTCGCCCCCTAGGCTCCTTGGGCCCCTGTGGTGCCTCCCACCCCTTCCGTCCCTGTCCCTCCTTGCCTGGCCCTGGGCTGCAGTGAGTCAGCGGCTGCCCCTGCTGGAATGCCTGATGAGGTGCTTTCTGGGGCAGGAGTTCAGGCAGCACCGACAGTGAAGAGGAGGACGAGGAGGAGGAAGATGAGGAGGAGGAGGAAGACGAGGGTGGTGGCACCTCCATGCCCAGCGCTGGGCCCCAGCCTCCTGGTGAGTGTGGGCATCTGTGGGCAGGACTTGGTGTCGATTGCCTGGGCTCACCCTCTGTCCCCACGCCACTGCCCAGGCTCGAGCTGGACTGCTGCCTTCCCACCTGCGCCTGTGGATGCCCTGCCAGGCCCGTGTGACTCCAGGGCGGCTGAGCTTCTGCCCCCAGCCCAGAAGCTGAGCAGCCCTGCAACTCCTGATGTCCCGCAGCTCAGGTGGGATGGTGCGGCGGGGGGTTCTGGTTTTGAGGGTCTCAGGCCTGGGTGCTGATGCGGCCACACATTGGGGTTCCTCTTGCAGCTCTCAGGATCCCATTCCATCCTCAGCACCTCAGATGGCTGCAGATGACAGCAAAACTGCAGAGCCCTCTGGTGAGCCTCTCTGTGCCTGCCCACCTAAGGCGCCAGGTGCCACTTTGGGTGATGGCATGGGAAGGTGGTGTGGGCAGCCTGCTTCCACTGGCTGAGATGCAGCCTGTCCTTTCACAGCCCCCAGCCAGGCCCTGGTCAGTGTGGAGGCCCTGCAGGCTGCCCTGCGTGGGATGCGCTCTGCCCCTAGCCCAGTGGACAGGTGAGCTGGCACTCTCTTCCAGCTCCTGGTCGCCATAGGATGCTGCCTGGTGTGTGGAGTGCCTTGTGCCCCGTGCCCTGCAGCACATGGGCCAGAGGCGAGAGGCTTGCAGGAAGGGATGCCTCGCGCTGTGGCCAAGTGCCTCTGGCATGGAGATGGCGTCTGGGGCCAGCCTGGCGGGAGGGCTGGGGTGTAGCATAATGCACGTGCTCACCCCCTGCTGTGTGCGTGGTCTTGGCGCCTACCAACTACTTGGTTACCTGGAGCCCCTTTAAAGGCAGCTTGAGGTTGTTGAGGGTACACGAGCTTCTGCAGGCGACATGAACGGTCAGCCAGTGTTAAGCCACACTGCCCTTCCTTGCAGTGCAACCAGAGACCCCTCTACCTCTGTTCCAGTCTCCGGGGCCTCTGAGAGCAAGGAGGGGGAGAAGAGCCCAGAGCCCTTGGGGCTTCCCCCCAGCCAAAGGTACGCAGTGGAGCAGGCTCAGGTGGAGGCTGGAGGGGCCGAGAGAGTGACCACTGGATGCCCTCTTCCCAGCAGTGGCTCAGCCCCAGTAGCGCCCCTCTCTCTGGGTCCCCAGTGAGAGTGGCTGCAGCCTGGGGGTGTGGGGTGTGGCTGGGGAGGAGGGGCTGCCTGCATGTCATGCGAATCTTCCATTCCAGGTAGCTGCCCCGTGGCTGTCGTGGCCCGATCCTCCGTCCTCCCCACGGACTGGTGGGCAGGGTGGGTCCCTTGTGGGTCCCTTGCTCCCCACGCCTGTCCCCTGCACTCCTCTGGACTCCTGGAGGCTGTGCCAGGGCGAGGTCCCGCCCTGCCCCGTTTGCACTGAGAAGAGAGTATGGAGCTCGCCTCCTGGAATAAAGAGTCGCGCAGAAAGAGGAGAGATGTTTATCATACTGTATATGTACCATGGGGGCGGGAGCTGGCGCTGGGGCACAGCCTCTGCAGTCCCAGGAGGGCTGCAGGAGGTCCAGGCTGCTGCCTGTGCTGTCCTGTGCCTGGTGCCGATGCCTGTGCCCAGCCTTCTGCTCAGGTCCCTCGAGGGTGGGCCACAGGCTAATGGGTGGTGCCTTCACCCAGACCCGCACTCCTGCAGCACCTGGCCCAGGGGAGTGGGCCCCCTCCCTCTCCCCAGGGCTCTGTCTGGTTGGCTGGACCCTTCTGCCGGACCTGGGGTCCCAGCCCCGCTGCCAAGTGGCCTTGTCCCAGCTCCCTCTCCCACGACGGCGTGAGTGTGCGTGTGTTCGTGCCGAGCTTCTGTTTCATATTGCAAATATAAATAAAGGAAGACAGTTTATGACTCCCACTGGTCAGACCTTGCATTTGAACTGAGTCCAGCAGCTGCACTCTGAACCTTGACCCTCCTGCGGGGGCCAGTGGTACCCACTCCCATGTGTCTCCTTCCTGCCGCCTATATAGGGGCAGGCCAGGCCACATTGTCTGCCCTCAGTGACTGGGGTCATGGGGAAGTTGGGGCCCTGTGAGCTTCTGGGCTGGGGGGTCCCAGGGTGAGGCAGGCAGCTGGCTCCCTCCCAGGCAGCCTGGGCCTCCATCCAGGCGGTGTAGAGGCAGCTGTCACCTATGTCCTCTGCTGTGGTCCTGGAGTCCTGGCTCCCCCTCCCAGTGGCAGTCTCTGGGCTTGCCTGCGTGGGTGCTCAGCTGGAGGGACTGCTTGGCTCCTGTGGGCACCTCAGGGTGGTGGAAGGCCGTGTCTGGGGACTTATCAGTGCTGGAGTCCACAGGACACTCCGGGTTAATGTGTAACGCCCTCCACCCCAAGTCTGCCAGCTCCTGCATGCAGGCCAGCATGGACCCCAGGAAGGAGGGTGTGCCCCTGAAGACACTTCAGCCAAGTGAGCCTGTGGGGGTGGGGCTTGAGACTTGGGGAACCAAGCAGCTGTGGGCTTTTGGGGTCCCCATGCCCCCATGGCACGGCCTGTGGGCTTGAGACCGTGCCCCTTGCAGGTGGGAAGCCAGGGCAACCTGGTCATCCCGAAGGCCGAAGGTCCTGTCTGTCCCTAACCCTGTCCCTGTCCTGACCAGGCCCAGCCTGTTTAGCTCAAGTTGGTGGCGGGGGGCTGTGTGGGAGCAGGGAGCCCTGAGGTGCAGGGAGGGAGCGGCTGGGCTATGTGCTCAGCACGCCCTTCCACAGTGCCCAGGGGCAGCCGGCAGCTGGGCCCCTTCCTGCTCACCTGCTCTGTCTACTTCCTCTGGGCACCTGAGTCCCCGCCGTCCTGGCCTTCAGCCGTGCTCAAGTGCCTGCCCGTGCTCTGCCTGGCACTGTTGCTTCAGGCTGCTCCTGCTGCCAGGGGCTGCAGCCAGCTCCTGCAAGGAGCCCTCCTGTGCTCAGCAGTGGGGGACGCCTGCCTCCTGTGGCCTGAGACCCTCTTACCTGGTGAGTACATCCAGAGGAGGGAGTTGGGGAAGGAAGGCCGGTGGGGCACAGGGCAGGGCTGCATGCTCTAGGTTCAGGGGAAGGGGGGAGGCGGGTGACAACCTGTTTGCGGTCCAGGACAGCAAGGCAGGTGCCATGTGGCTTGGGTGTGACTGTGCAGGGAGGGGGGAGGGGTGGTGGTGCCAGGCAGCCAAGTGTCCCCTCTCCCACAGGTATGGCCACCCTCGCTGCTGCGCACCTCCTCGACCTGTGGGCCCTCGGCTGCTCTCCCCTGCGGCCCAGCCAGCTGTTGCTCACGCTCCTGGCCTCTGCCACCTACCTCAGCCTCCTGCTGCCACACCTGCGTGCCACTCTGGCAGGGCCTGCGGTGGCCTGTGCACTGCTTCTGGCCACCGTGCTGTGGCGTGGCCTGGCTCGTGTGGGAGTGCTGGCCATGGCACACTGCTTTTTGCCATATCTGATGTGGTGCTCTCCTGGCACAACTTTGTGCGGCCCCTGCCCCATGGCCACCTGGGGACCATGACCACCTGCTCCGCGGCCCCGGTGCTCATCACGCTGTCCCTGCTTAGGAGCCCTGGGAGCTGGGCCGACTGAGAGCGGCCGGCAGGTGGATGAGTCCCTGCCGCCAGCGACCTCTGCGCCGAGCTGCCCGAGTCCAGGCTGCTCCCCAGCCCCTCCCCCTCCCTACGACTCTAGTCTGTGCGATGGTGCTAAGTAAAGTGGGTGTGGAGATTGCAGTGCCACCAATGTTTGGGAAGGAGCACCAGGGCAGGAGCCTGTCCCAGAGCCAGCCTGGTGCCTGAGGGACCCCCTCGGCCTGCATCCGGTGGACAGGTGGGCAGAACTGAGCCAAGAAAGATGTTCTTGTTTATGTCTAGGTAGCAAGACGTGGACTGAGCCCAGGCTTGGTTGCACGCTCGCAGCAGTCCTCCTGCCTCAGCCTCCCAAGTACTGGGATTACAGGCATGTGCACCTTACCAAGAGAGGCTTCTTTTAGGGGATACAACTCTGTGGGCTCCAAGTTGGGGCTAGAGACCTTGGAGGAGCTAGGTCATGAGGGGTGAGGAGGGGGGCAGCGTGGCTGAGTGGCCCTGGGCAGCTGCTACCTCTCTGGGCCCCATCTGGCCATGTTGGAGTTGTCCCAGGACTCCTGCTTCTCCATGGTGCTGTGCTACTGCAGCCGCTCAGCGGAGGGGAGACTGCCACCGCGTGCCTCGCCCAGGCCCTCTGACCGCTCCTGTGGGGAGGGGTTTCCTTGAGCGGTGTGGAGAGCAGGTGAGGGAAGGCTGACGGCTGGACTCTGGGAAGCCTCTGCTTCCTCTATCTCCCACCCACTATTTTCCCCCCTGTACTGGGGATTGAACCCCAAGGTGCTTAACCACAGAGCCACATCCACAGCCTGTTTCATCATTTCGTAGTCTGACTGCAGCTCAGGCTGGCCTGGAACTCACTTTGTAGCCCAGGCTGGCTTTGAACTCGCAGCGATCTTCCTGCCTCAAACTGCCAAGAGCTGGGATTACAGGGGTGCGCCACTGCCTGGCCCCTTTCATCTTTTATTTTGAGAAAGGGCCTTGCAGGGTTGCGCTGGTTGGCATCTCACCTGCTATCCAGCCGCAGCTTCCCAGGAGCAGGGACTTGTTGCCTCCCCATCCTGTGTCCCGCACCCGGGGCTGGCAGGCGGGACACGGAAGATGCTGCTCGGGCTCTCGGCCTCGCAGACGTGGGGTGGGGTGGCCTGGCTGTGGGAAGGGAGCTGAGGCCCGAGGGAGGCCAGCCCAGCGAGGCGCCGTGGAGGGCGTGAAGGATGCCCTCAGTGGCAGGGCGTCCCGCTCAGTCCTTTCCGGGTGCAGATCCCGTCAGCACCGAGGACAGCGCCGGGCCTGCTGGGAGCCGGCTGCTGGACCGCCCCTTCCCTGCTGCTGCCCACGGTGAGCGGGGCCTCCCTCCTGGGGCTGCCCGGCGAGCGTGCCGGGCCGGGGAAGGTGGAGCTGGTGAGGTGGCGACGCGTGCAGCTGTGGCGCCTCCTCTGCCCGGGGCCATGCGCAGCCCTGAAACGTGGGAAGGTCGCACGCCAAGCACGGCGGCCAGGCAGCCACCAGGGAGCGCCCTCCTCCAGCCCGTCCCAGGGTCCACCTGTACTGGAGGCAGGGGCTCGTTAGTTCACCGAATTTCCCAGGCTGGGCCCAAACTTGTGATTCTCCCGCTTCCGCCTCCCGGAGCGCTGGGATCACAGTGTGCGCCACGCCTGGCTGCAGTTTATTTCATCTCCAGTGAGGCTCTCGGGGCGCTGGTTTCTTGGTTTTTCGCCTGCTTTTGTTACTTGGATTGGGCAGGAATCCTGAGCGCTTCCAACTGTCCTCAACACAGTCCTCACGCTGGTGATCGCAAACCACGACTATTGCAGTTTCTCCCTACACGCTCAGGGTGCAGGAAGGGAGACACACACAGTGCCCCTCTCTGAAATTCTTTGCAGTGCCGGGGATGGACCCAGGGTCTGCACACCACGCCACATCTTAGTCCTTGTAAGTGGGCTAGGCTGGCCTCAAGCTTGCGACCCTTCTGCCGTAGCCTCCCAGAGCGCTGGATTATGGGCCCACCGCCACACCAGGCTCACGCGGGGCTTTTCAAGCCCACTCAACCCGTAGTGCGATCGTCTTAGCCTGGTGCCCACTTGTACTGGATGCCTCCGCACCCACGGGATCGTGGCACAGTGACCTTGTGGGTCCCCGTGGATGACTCCATCGTGTCAGAACCAGGGCTAGCAATCCCATGCTCTCTTTTCCCAATCCCCTGTCACCCTGGGAGTGGGCCTCGGGTCCAGCTCTGGCCTGTCCTCTGGTGCCAGGCTGCGTGTGTGCTCCTCAGGCATGGAGCGTCCAGTCGGGAGCTCAGGGATGCCGGCTGCTTGCTGGTACCTGGTCCCAGAGAGCTGCTGTGGCCCAATCTGCAAAGAGTCCCGGCAGGAAGGTCCAGGTACTCACTCTGGGCGCAGAGGGCCAAGATCCATGACGTGGTGAGGCCGTGCCCTTGCCTGGCTCCGCCCTCTGCCCCTGGCATTCGCCCTAGGCCCCTTCTCTCGAGGCTCTGCAGGACAGGATCTAAGGCAGGAGGCTGCCTGTGGTCACTGGGGTCTGGTCTGTGCCATAGACTGGGAGAACTGTCTGCTTTCTCCGTGCTTCTGAGGGGAGTAAGGGGAACGAGGCAGGGAGCTGTGGTGACCCGGGCTCCCCCAGTGCAGTGGTCCAGTCTGGCCTTGAGCTCACTGTGTAGCCCAGGGTGGCCTCAGACTTGTAGTCCTCCTGCCTCGGCTTTCTGAGTGCTGGAATTACAGGAGCGTATTACCATGTCGGGCTTAAATCTTAATTTGTACAGATGGGAAAACTGAGGCTCTGAAGCTGGGCACAATGGCCCGTACCTACTGACGCAGGCAGGAGAATTGCTGTGAATTCAAGGTCAGCCTGGGCTACATAGTGAGTCCTGTGTTAAGAAACAAGGCAAAAAGCTCATGCAATGAAAAATTTCACATCAGACAAAAATGAATAATGCCTATCATTCCGGTGAGGATGTTCAGGGACGCCCTGGGGTCAAGTGTGTAGACCCGGGAGCCCACACCCCAGGGCATGTGTGAGACCAGCCATGGGAAGTGGAGCCCAGCCCTGGGGCCACAGCCCCGGGCTCTACTTCCTCTGAGTGACTCAGGGACTGTGTGAAAGGTCCCACAGCCCTGGGTGGCTTAGCTCCCCCTCCTTCCCCTTTGTCTTGGGTGGGGTGGGTCACAGGAGAGCAGTGGTGGCACCCTGCAGCGTTGCTCCGGCCGCCAGTGGGCTGGGGCTGCTCTCTTGCTGCCTGATGGCCCCTCGGGGCTTGCTTTCTCCTTCCCACTGGGTGAAGCGGAGTGCTGGGGTGGGACACCCAGAGTCTTGGGGCTGCCTCTGCCTGGCCTGCCTTGGTCCGCTTGCCAGGAGGGTGCTGAGGGGCGTGCTGGGGAGATGTGAGGAGCGCTCCGGGCAGGGTGACCCTGGCGCCAGCCCCATGGCTCCCTGGGGTGGACGCAGTCCCCGCCAGGCTCCCAGCAGCAGACCAGTCCTGCAGCAACCCAGCAGACGCATGCATGGTTCTTGGTGTAGCACAGGGCAGTGCTGTGCAGCCGGTATTTTCTTTTATTTGATCTTTATTCATAACTGCTACATAACTCAGGCCTAGCTGGAGTTATTTCTCAACAGCCAGGAAAATGCTTCTTGGAGGCTTAGCCATGTAGGACCCCAGGGACGTGCCTGCTCTTCCACCAACTCCTCAGAGCTGGCATCTAGGCGACCCCTTCGTTCACATCAGGGACCCTGAGGCACCCATGGCTCTGGACATGGCAGAAGTGGGTCGCTTCTTTCTGTATATCTGATGTACAAAGTACTTGACATTTACTTTAAAAAGAAATCGGGCAGGCATAGTGGTGCATGCTTGGAATCCCAGCAGCGTGGAAGGATGGGGCAGGGTGGTCACAAACTGGAGCCCAGCCAAACAAGACCCAGTCTCAAAACTGCAAAAAGTGCCGGTGGGTGTAGCTCAGTGTGAAGGCCTTGGGCTCAATCCCTGGTACCGTGCAAAGCCAAACCAAGCAACCCCCAAGCAGAAAACAACAAACAGGAGATGGACGGCAGTGCTGGAGCAGGAGGCGACCGAGAGAATGCAGAGGTGGGCTGCGGCCCTGGAGCCCACATCCCCAGCCCAGGAGCCTCAGGAGCAGGTGGGCAGGACATCTGCAGAAGCAGTGGAGGCCGAGGGATGGCTCAAGTCACATGGTCGCGGCTCCCCAGGACAGGGCACCCACTGTGTTGCAGTCTCCTCACCACATGTGTCCCGGGGGTGGTCATCATCCTTTCCAGAGGACTCAGCTGAGTCACTCTGAACTTAAGTCGCCTCAGGTCATGACTGTGGCCGCATAGCTATGTAAATACAAACACTCGTGAGCTGAGCGACAGTCGCAGGAGCTGTGGGAGCCGTGGGGTGCAGGGCAGATGAACCTGGGTGGAGGTGGGGTGTGCAGAGGCCTGGAGGCAGCAAGCCCGGGCTCACCCGCGACCGCCCAGACCTGCAGCAGGCAGAAGTACCCACCATGGCAGGCCATCTTCATCCACTGCCCAGCTCTCCCCATGCTGCGCCGCAGCCTCAGGGGCATGTCGCCCTTGGCACAGCGGCCACGAATGTCTCCAGGGTTTCCACAGAGCAGGGGCTGAGGCTTCCAGGTGTGCCTGCCCAGGAGACCCCGGGGCTGGGCGGTGTCAGGCAGCAGCGGAGGTGAGGAAGAGGTGCAAGGGACAGGGCAGGGCTGGAGCGGGGCGCTCACTGCTGGGCCTGCACTTCCTTCTCCACCCCTTCCTGCTGGGCTCGCACTGATGGGCTGGGAGAGGGGAAATTCTTGAGTATAAAGTCCAGCAGGTGGAAGGACCAGGCTGGGACTCCTGTGTCCCTCCCAGTGAAGGACACATGGCCCGGGCAGCCGGGGGCCTCGGGGTCTGGAGGAGCTTGGTGCTGTTGGTAAGTCCTCCCTGTCCAGGGCAGCAGGCCCTCACGGGAGTGGGGGCTGGGGCTCAGACAACTCCACAGTGAGAAGATGAGGGAAGGGCTCCGAGAACTCAGACCCTGAAGAAGCGTGGGCCAGGTGTGCCCTGGAGAAGGGGGGGGGTCTCACTTTGGAAGCACTGTGGAGAGTGGATACCAAGGCTTAGTACAGTGACAGTGGGAAGTGGAACAGCCCCTCAGGCGAGATACTAAGTGCTCTCAGAGGCCTGTTGGCTGTGCCCTTCTGACTGAGGAACTCTGGCCTGGTCTCACCCCTCAGAGCCTGGGGTCCAGCCCCACCTCCCACCTCAGAACATGGGTCTGGCCTGGTCTCCCCCCTCAGAACCTGGGGTGCGGGTCCAGTTTCTACTCTCATACTGGGGATTCTAGCCTGGCCTCCACCCTCAGAAGGGGGCTTCAGATCCAGCCTCCTCCCTAAAAACTGGGGATCCACAGTTGAGCCTCCTGCCTGACAGTCAGGGGTCCAGGCTCAGCCCTTCTTTCTGACCCGGGTATCTGGATCCAGCCTCCAGTTTCGCTTTCTTCATATCCTCTGACTTTTATGATTACTTCCCCACCCCCAACACTGCAAGGCTGTATTTTTTAAAATTTGAAACCATTACATTTATCTTTGGCCTTATCAGTAAAGCCAATGTCAGCCTCTGTGTCCCTGAAACACCACCCCTACCATACTTGACCTTTTTCTCTGCTGGAAGAACACGGATATTGGGGTGACCTTTGTCACAGCTCAGCCCTGAGGTACTTGACTAGGCCAGGGTGACTGTTGGGTGGGGTTGGGAGTGTCATGGGCAGTACTACCAGGCCCATGGACTCTCCTGGGTCCAGGGCGGCCTTACCTCTAACTTCTTCCCTGCTCTTTCCAGGGTTTGTGCAGCTGGACGGTGGGTGGGGAAGCAGGTGAGTGACCCCTAAGGACCGAAGGCCTTATGACAGGAGCGTCTTGGCTTCTCCACGAAGGTTGCCCAGAATGGCACTGGTTGAGGGAGTGGGAGGCAGACAAGTGTGGGGCATTGGCTGACAGGGTCCCTCATCCCAAACCCCAACCAGTGAGGGGCCTTTGGGTACATGCTGAGATTAACAGCTCCCTCAGCTTGCAATGGGAGGAGCCCCAGAGCTCTGTCCCACAGAACCTCACGTTCTGGGACCTGTGGAATCTAGGCAGCAACACAAGTGACACTCAGAAGACCACAGACACCAGTGTCACCATGGAGGGACCGTGTCCTGGGTCTTCATATGCGTTTTCTGTATGTATGGAAAAAGATGGAGTCAATGGCACCTGGGAGTCTCTCAACGCTTCCACAGGTAAGAGGCAGCCAGTATTTAGAGCTCTCTAATTCCACGGATCTGGGCATTCACGCCAAGGCCTTCGTACTTAGCTACATCCACAGCCCTTCCTTGATGCTGTTGTTTTGTGTGTTTGTAGAGAACATTTTGCTAAATGCCCCCAGCAGGAATTGAACTTTTGATCCTCCTCACTCAGCCTCCTAGAGTTCTGGGATTAGGGGACACAGCTCTACCCTTGGCTGTTAGTCTCCCCTTTCCTAGGGATCGGTGTGGAGTGCTTGAGAACAGATAGGAGGATGTGACAGGTTCTGTGACAGCCACATAAAAATGTGGAAACCCCCAGCTGAAATGGGTCATGTCAGGGTATAACATGTTGTGTGACAGGCGTAAAACCCTTCCACGTCACTGTGGACTTTGCACAGAAAGGATGGAGGAGGCTTTGCGTTCCCGCCTCACCCTTGCTGTGCGGCCTCGAGGGCCCGAGCTGCCAGCACACGTGCCCCTGCAGGGAGCCGGCCACCGAGCTCCAAGTCCCAAGGGCGCATGCTGCCACATTGCATGGTGCAGGTGCAGCTTCCCAAGTCCCTCTCCTGCCTCCAGGAGTTGGGGAAGGGCAGGAAAATGTGCAGTGGGAGCTGGGAAAATGAACCTGATGTGCCCTCTGTTCTTCTTCTCAGCCCCCAACCCAGTGAGGTGCCTGCGGGTGGGTGCACGGACCAACAGCTCCATCAGCCTGTGCTGGGAGGCGCCCCAGGACCCAACCTCCCAGAACCTCACCTACTGGGTCCTGTGGACTGGAGACGGAGATGACGGAGATACCCAGAAGACCACAGACACCAGTGTCACCATGGAGGGACTGCGTCCTGGGTCTTCATATGCATTTTCTGTGTGGGTGGAGAAAGATGGATTCAATAGCACCAGGGAGACTCTCCAGGCTGCTACAGGTAAGGGAAGGCACGGCTTTACTCTTTTCTTATTAGAAGGAAGTAGTGTTTTGTGGTTGGAAATGCCTGGAGAACGTCATCTGTCCTGTGACACCATAGAAAAACGGTGGGAGCCACACAGGTGCACTATGTCAAAATAGGGAAAAAGGGGTGAAAGGATCATTGTGACCTATTTCACGCAGCCTTCTTCTTCTAAAGTACCGTCATGCCGCCATGTGACGAGGATAGACAGCATTGCTGAGACTGGGCCTTGCGGATTTCATCCAGGTCCTCCTCAACCTGGTTGCGTTTGTGGCTCATCTTGGGTGGACCGAGCCCTATCCCAAGTGGGCAACCGTCCTAGGGGCCCTGTGCTGCCATATTGGGTGGCGGAGGTCTGAGCCCTCACGTGCTCTCCCACTGGGTGCAAGTATAAAGCTGCAAAGGTGGCAAAACTGGGTAGCACAACCCATTTCTCCTCCTGTCCCTGTATTCAGCCCCAAATCCAGTGACCAACCTGAGAGTGCATGCTCAGACCAACAGCTCCATCAGCCTGCGCTGGGAGGAGCCCCAGGGCTCGGCCTCCCAGAACCTCACCTACCGGGTCCACTGGACTGGAGACGGGGATGACGGAGACACCCAGAAGACCACAGACACCAGTGTCACCGTGGAGGGACTGCGTCCTGGGTCATCATATGCATTTTCTGTGTGGGTGGAGAAAGATGGAGTCAATGGCACCAGGGAGACTCTCCAGGCTGCTACAGGTGAGGGCAGCCAGTATTTCAGGAAGATGTCGTAGAATTTCCATGTGTTTAGGAAGTACTTGTTTTTTTGCCGCTAATTTCCTACTGTATTGCACTGCAGTCTGATAATATGCACAGAATAAATTTAATTCCTTTGCATTTACTTAAGCATGTTCTGTGAGCTATCATGTGATCTATTTTGGAGAATGTTTCATGTGAAGCTGAGAAGAATGTGTATTCTCTTGTTTCGTGGAATAGTCTGCAGACATCTACTAAGTCCATTTGCTCAAAAGTTGAGCTCAGTTCTAATATTTCATTCTTGATTTTTTTGTCTAGTTGGTCTACTTGGACAGTAGGGCATTGAAGTCCCCCAAAGGTATTAGTGTTTATTTGATTTTTGGGGCCAGGGAGATAGCTCAGTAGCATAAGCACTACCTGGCAAGTGCAAGGTCCTGAGTTTAATCTCCAGTACCCCACAAAAATAATTTGATTTTGTTTTATATATTTGGGTGCACTGATATTTGCTGCATATATGTTTATTATTCTTATCTCTTTTGGATAGTTCCCTTTCAAGGACATGATGACCTTCTTCACCTGTCTTAGTCAATCTTGGCTTGAAATTCACTTTGTCTGCAAATAGAATTCCTACCCCTGCTTTTTTTGAGGTTTCTGTCACATGGAGTATTGTCTTCCATCCTTTACCACCTCTTTGAATTAAATGTGTTTCTTTTATGCAGCATATTGTTGGGTCTGGCTTCTTGATCCATTCTGCCAATGTGTATTGGCTTATCCTTGTCATGCTATTTTCCTGTTGTTGACTCCTTTGTTTTTCCTGTTTAGTTGTTTCCTTGCCTGGTGGATTTCTTCTGTTAGGGTTCATGGAGTTGTAGTCCTTGTCATCCCCTTTTAGAACGTCCTTCACAACATTTTAGAGTGATGGTTTGTTGCTCGTGAATTTCCTCAGATTTTCTTTGTCATGGAAGTTTCTTATTTCTTTATTGGTTTGAAAGAGAGTTCTGGGGAGTACATCAATCTGGGTTGGAGGTTGTTTTATTTTAGGGCTTGAAATACTTCACTCCAGACTCTCCTTGATTTGAGGGTTTGTGCTGAGAAGTCAGCTAAGGTTTTGATGCTCAGTGATTTGTTTTTTTTTTTTTTTCTTTAATAGCTCTTAATATTCTGCTCTTGTGTTGAATTTCTAGAATCTTGACTATGCGATAGATGGTTGTAATTTTTTTTTTATCATGACTAAATGAAATCCTATACACATTACTTACCTTTATGTCAAATTCTCTTTGCCTACAAGGGAAGTTTTCTGCCTGCCTTTTGTGAACAGGCTTTTATATCATTTATGCTATCACCTGCCTTCTCTCTCTCTCTCTCTCTCTCTCTCTCTCTCTCTCTCTCTCGGCAGAACCAGGGATTGAACTCAGGCCCTTGCACTTGCCAGGGAAGCACTTATTCTACTGAGCCATCTCTCTGGCCCGCCTGCCTTTTCTTTGACTCCAATCAATCTTACGTTATTCTTCTTTGCCTCGTCTAGCAGCTGCTGCATGATTTCACACAGTCCCTTGCTGTTTTTGAGTGATCTTTCCTTTCACGATTGCTACCATGAGCCTATCTTTTGTGTCTGAGCTCCTGGCCTCACATTGGCTTATTCTGCTGCAGATACTTTCAATAGCTTTTCAGTCTCCTGGATATCTACTTAAATCTGTTATATGTATTACTTTTTTTTTTTTTTTTCCTATGTTGGGCATTCATGGCTTCCATAATTTTCTTAAACTTTTAAAAAATCTGGATCTGGGGCTGGTGAGATGGCTCAGTGGTCTAAAGCACCTACTTAGAACAAGCTTAGCAA